TTGTATGTCTTGGAAAAATACTATATCATAGGTACCGTGGAACCCAGATTACACGGTACTTTGAACTTTCTTACAACAAGAATTCGCTGTCAAGAACTTGTTGTCAAGTATTCGCAGAGGAATTTTCGTGGTCCTAGCGGTTTCGAGGCCCTCGAAACTTTCCGATTTTGATGAATGGATTTTCAATGTGTTATTATCGAAATTTTTTACAGACAGAAATCCCACGGAAATCCCTGAAGCTTCGATTAATTTCGCGATCATAAAGAACGTTGCGCGCTATTATCGGCTTTACGCAGCTCCTCGTATTCTCATGATCTTGAAAAGTATTGAGAAGCATTATTGGGAATCAATTGATTTCCAATCGCGAAAATCAAACAGATGCAGTTAATATTTGAGAGCTCCGCCAATTCTAATTTATTCGAGCTTTTCACGGGGTGAAAGAAACTCAGAGAATGAGAAAGTTCACTTTGAATGGTAATCGATATTAAGTAGTACGAGTCGATGCGTGGTCAAACGTAACGACCCGCTAATCAGTGAAAGATGGTTTGAGAATATTCTTCAGCTAGAGTAATTGTTAGTTCAGAAAGAAATTTCAGATTATTCGCAAGCGGATATTTGAATTGTATTCGAATGTGTGCTAATTTCTCCGGGAAAAATTTTACAGGCGCGTGAAATTGTTGGAGGCAAATATATTGACGAACAAGAAAATAAGAAGAATATTTATTAACATGTTGTGGTGCAAAAAAAAAAGAGAAAATAAATTCGAATCAATTGAATATAAAATTTATTAACGATTATTTCCGAGAGCTTTATTAAAAAAAAACGTAATTCGTTTTTGCACAGACGTATAGAGCTATTTGTACATTTCTCCGCTGCATTTCGAAATAACAAGGATGCCGATGCTATTCGTGTCTCTTTACCTGGAGAAATTCAAGAGGAATGTGGAGCAATCGCGTGCCAAGCGGCTCGTAAGTAGGTATTCGTCGCCTTGTACAAGTCAAAGGGAGAAGTGGGAAAAAATACTGACAAAGGAACGGTAGCAAAATCTTACTTCTCTTTTTTTTTACGTAAATACTTCGTTGAGTTTAACAAATGAACAAATGAATAATGCAATGTTGCTTTATACGATGAAAATTAATTTTCTTATTATTAGAATATAACACTCAAGATGATGTAAGATATGCTTAGCAAAGTATAAAATGGAAAACAACTCGTATACACACAGGTGTCTCAGTTGATGATGGGAGGACAATCTAAATATTTCCTCCATTTTATGTTCATGGCATAATTTGAATGGCTCGTATATGAAGGAGTATCTTGAAAAACAAAATTTTTTTATCAAGTCATTCGTTTTCTGTTTTTTTTCAAGATCATTGGTATTTTTTATTTTGGAAAATAGGAATTTTGGCGCCTGTTCTCCCGTTGCATTTGAGTATACATAAATTAGGACCTTCGGATGACTTTGAAAACCCTGTATAATGTTTGATTCGAATTTATGCGTCATTTATTCGATATAGATTGAAATGTAATATAAACTTTGTATATTTTAGTTGAGTATTCATCAAATTTAAACACGGTTCGGTGCGGTCGAACTATATGTCACCTGCGGGCAGGAGATGATTCCTTATGAAAAAATAACAAAAATATAGAATAAAAGTTTTTGATTTGAGGCTTCGTTTTCGAGAAAATCGAATTCGTAGATTTATCAAGTATGCTAATTCTAGACATGTTAGAAAGGTATAATTAACAGAAAATTATTTTTTATATTAATAAACGATGAAAAATAAAACTGTCTTGCAAGATACTTTGTTCTCGAGAAAATTGAGCTCGAAAATTTATCAAGCACATGTGTATCAAGGCAATTTTTAACGAAACACATTCAAGGCCTATTTTCTTGGAAATGGAGCTTTAAATGAAAAAATTCTATTGCACATTTTCATTTACTTTTGCACGTACAATAATCTCCTGTTAATTATCCATTTCTGTCATGTTAAGAATTTAATTAAATTCAGGTATACTTGGTAAATCTCCAAATCTTCGATTTTTTCAGAAACGAAATCGTTAAATTAAAAAATTTTATTCTATATTTTTCTCTTCTTTTCCATAAAGAATCACCTCCTTGACCTCACTCGATTGCATACTGTATTTAAGAGAGTGCGTCATTGTTAGATACACTACTGCTTTATTTTTTTTAAAAGTGAATAGTTCGAAATAACAATAGTTAACGATGCAGTCATTTGAGCAGCGAGTAATTTTGTTCGACCTTTGGACACTGACAAATACAGTCAGTTGGTTTTTACTTCTCTTTGTCGAATCGCTGTTCGGAAAATATTTCTCGAAGCCAAAATCCATGGATATGTAACTACCTGGAGCCAGCGAAGCCGTTCATTCTTGAATTTGAAACCAGTCCGCAACCACGGACGCGCAAGTTATAGATGTCTGTATCAATATTTTTCGATACGGTGTTTTGTTACAGTTTCGCATAGGTTAACGATCGTCACGGATCTGTTGATCGTTACCGGTGAAACTGGCTAGTCGATGCATATGATAAAAAAAACAAACGGATGTTCTGTACTTTTTACGAATGGAATTTCAAAATCACGCTTCGTAAAAATATTCAGAATGCTATTCGGAAAATTCAACAACTCAAGAAACAAATTGCGACACCGAAAATGCCCGTATCATTCAAAAATTTAATGAATCGATCGTGGAAAGTGTGCAGTGATGATTTTTCGTCAACATAAAAGAGAAGAATGAGTGAAAGCACCGATAGAGTTACATTGTGAAGCTGTTTTATGAAGTACAATTGAGAGGCTGCAGTCATCTTAATTTATCGGTAGATTCGCTATTTATTGTTATTTACTGCCCTCATTATACAATTACAAAAGGATCAACGATTTCATTAATTTTTGAAGAAATTGTATGTTTTGCCGGGCTAGCATGTATTTTGCTGACCGCACTAATTATTTTTCCGATACTCATGGAAAACGAACGACGACAGTCTTTGTAATTGATGTTGAGAAATGAACGCTAACGCGTACGATGCTGTTTCGCGTTTCGTTTTTAGAGGAAACCATGTTATGAAATAATACGCGTCGATCTATCTCGTAATTAGGATACTGACTATTTTCATCATGAAAATATGATCGTAGATTGATGTTAGGTTGATTAGTGAGGAAATCTAGCTTCATTTCCAAAATAACATTTACTTATTTTTCTAATTTTTCCCCAGTAACGACCACAACGGAATGATTTATGATATATTCATATACATATATACTTCAATCGAATGATATAATGTTCAATCTACGGTTTCTAATTTCTGTATTATCAATGGTAAGATGTTTAAATAAGTACGTACATTATGTAAAAGTTGATCTTATTAAAGTACTTGTTGTACAATCTTAAGTGCATCCTTTTAAACATTAATCACTGTTAAACGAAATTAAGTTGAAAGATATATAGATCACGGAAAAATTATTTAGACGATTGCAAGGAATTAGAAAAAATATACAATATAAGCACAACATATAGCAAACAACATGTGTTCTTGCATCATGAAATAAATGCATAATGAAAAAGAAAAAAAATATTTTATCCCAGAATCATAAGACACATGTCCACTGTCTAGCAATTACTAACCGTATAATACTCTCATTATCGCGGATCAAGTGAAATTTTTTCAAGGAAGGGTTAAATGACAAATTCCCAGTAAATCGAATGTTTGGATCCTACTTAGCCGCGGGAGTGGTGGTCATTCGTACAACCTGTAAGATTCATCGTCGCGATTGAATTCAATCGTAGATTAAAACCACGGACGATCATCGCGACAATTTGTCGAGTAACGTTTATTCTTGACGATTTGTGATGTTCTCTGTTGAAATTTTCATATTGTACAATCTTGCAACAGTACACGAAAATTTTAACGCGGAGAGCAATTTTTACCACAAGCTCACAGCTGGATGCATCTTTAGACTTTCCCGACTGACAACCAACCTGAATAAAACAGATCTACCTCTTCCGTGAAATGAAATTCTACCTTGGTGAAACTTGTTTCCTTCCCGGGGTGCCCGTTTTCTCCGTTTTACCTCGTTATTTCGTATCTCTGTAGCCACGATATTTGCCGGTTTCTCTGGCTAACAGACGAACAGTTTTTCCCTTTGCAGAAATCGAACTGTGAAGGAATGTCGATACCGATCGGGATGATAAATCACGAAGTTAGTAATTGGCGTAAAAACTGGCACTTTTGCGCAATTGTTAAAAAACAAGCGGTTGTTGATTGTGTGTTTTATCGTGTTGGAACGTGTCACGTTGAAACCAATCGAAAGGATTGAAAATTGCCTCAACTTTGGAAACTGTTTCTTCTTCCTGGACGATGGAAAATTGGAAACTGTAGATCTTCCTTTTCCCCTCTCTTTTTTTTCCCTAAATCCTAAAATCTCACAAGGATATAGTCAAACTGGACGTTGTTAATGAAGAAGGGACAGCGGAGCTCTGCAGAAAATTTATAATTTTTGCCAATAGCATCGGTGACAGTTTTAATTAAAAGCGGCGGATGGCGAACTTTTGACGATACAGCGAGCCATGTGGGAAGAAAACTTAATAATGGCATCGAATTTGCCGATCTGGCAAATTTTACAGTTCTTTGCAATAAAGGGGAGAAGTGTGAAGAAAACAGAGTAGAAGGAGGAGGAGGAGGAGGAGGAGGAGGAGGAAAAGATGGCGAAGGAAAAGTAGAAAGGGAAAGAAGAATGGCCGTAAAAAGGGAGGGAAGTAATGGAAGAAGGAAAGGAAAAGGAAAAGGAAAAAGCGGGCAACGGGGGTAGGGTTGCGAATTAAGGGTTGGTGACGAGAGCAGCGTGTGCGCGTAGGGTTGAAGAGAGAGGAATAGGCCGCCGGGCAACCCCCTCCATCGTTGCTCCCTCCCCGATCTCACACGAACGTGCGAGCTTCGGGATTCGAGGCGATGTGGAAACTCGAACAGACAGCCAGTCGCTCGCCGTTCGTTCAACAACGTGGCTCGAAAGTGCTGCCTCGGCGATCCAGATAAGCGACCAGGACCAAGAGGAGGGCGACGAGGACGATCACGGCGACAACGATGCCACCCCTCGTCGTTCGATCTTGGCCAGCGTGGCCCGCCGGCTTAGTCTCCAAGGGCCGCCGATAAAAGATGACGCTTCAATTGCGATCGCTGATCGTGCTCGTGGAATCCACAGGTATCTCAGCGAATCCTCTTCGCGTCGTGATCCATTCTAACCAGCTACGCCCGTCGAGATCCCAATTGTTTTCATCGTGAACCTTCCACACTTTCCCAGTGAACCTGATAATCGAATCGATCCTTCTTCGACGCGTGTGAATATATCGAGAGTGCATTTGTGAGAGAATCGGATCGAATCGAATCGATATTCGTCAGGTTCGATGTTTGGTGACTGACTAGTTTCGAACGGATACGCAAAGTGCGCGGAGACGAATCGCGATGATAGTAGAAAATGTAAGGTGTATCGAGAATGAGACGGCGAACGAGACGAGAAAGAATGCTCGGTAATTGGCATCGATTGTGCGTAGTCAAATGGAAAGCACGTCGGATGTTCATGGATCCTGTTTGGTCAAAGGATTCTCAACATTCGGCGTTAGAGAGCTGAATTTCCTATTGGGAGATTCAACGTTGATTAATCGGCCGAGTGTCAACTGGTCCAGATTTAACCAGCGCCAGTAGATCGTAGCCGATTAAAGCAATGTCCTGCGTTGTCGTTTGAACTAATCGAGGTCGTTTGAACCGATGTCGTTCGATCAGTGGATCCTGACAATAAGGGCCGGGACGAGCAAACGAAAATTGGAAGATCGGCGAAAAGTTGACGACAAGAAAGATTTTTCCATCGAACGATTTCGCATTGCGGCGAATACACGGTAATAAACCGTGGCAGTACAATGCCGCCGCTTTAGATTGAATACAGAGCCGAGCCGAGGTTTTTGATCTCATTGGAAAATATTGAATCGATCTACCAAGTAGTGGGTGAATGGCGGAGCTTAGTACGACCACCGTGTATTCTATGGTTGGGTCACGGTGCCGAGGATCATCCCTCTGATATATACAGTGAGGCACACTCGATACGTGGATCTTGCGCAGAATATGGGGAAGGCACGAGGCGAACTTGGAGATGAACGCGTGACAGCACGAGGAAATTCTCCAACGAATCGACGTCGCTTCCAGATCACGCTTTGAACTACTGGATTTTCGGGGCTGTTGAATAACGTCGCGTGTTTATTTGACACGGCCGCGGCATATCGTTGTGATCGGTAAGGACATTTAGTACCCCTAACAATACTACTACGTTTGTGTTGGTCGTTCGTGTCATTAGAAATTCAATGAAGATGGACTGGCATGGGTGAACGTTTGCCACGACGATGTAAAAGTGACACAGGTGTGATCAATGGTAAGTAACGGTTTAATCGCCGCTAAATTTCCTCCAGTCTCGTACTTAAGATTCTCTTGACCGAGAAATGCCTGAGCGTGTCAAGGGTGTAGGCACGAGCGATTTGAATTGCTAAGTGGACCTTAGTCGTTATTAATTAAAACGCCATTTGACAGCGAGCGAAGAAAGGGAACTTGTTTCGAGTTGGCGAAAGATGGTCGAATTAAAGGGATAATAAATAAGAGCTGACAGCGGAGATGGAAGTAGATATCGCGCCATATGCACGCGGGATATGAAACTGAAACGCTTCATTCTCTTTCGATGCGATCAAGAGCAATGCGCATCACGCGAAATTTTGCTTAGGAAATTCGGGATTTTGTTACGTCCGAGATTTTTTTTACTTATTCGCGATAAACCAGAGAAATTGATGCTTGCTCGATATTAATCCGATTAAAATAATTTCATACGAAGAACTTTGGCGAACGACGAGGCATTTGCGGATTATCGCGCACTCTCTTTCTTTCATACAGTTCCGAAAATTATGGAATAGCGAAGAGATTAAACTCACTTAAAGTCGAACTCGAACGTAGTAGTTTCTGCTATAATTCTCCCGCCGTCAACACTATTCATCGCTATACTCGGATGAAGTGCTAAAGTTGAATAATAATACGCGTAAGATGAAAGATATTTGTAATATCGCAGATTAGGAACATTTTAAATTAACATCTGTTTGGGAGAAATAGTATTCGTCAGAAGAGGAATGTCGAATTTCGTGCTGATTCTTGTTACAGTCCATTCCACTGTCCGCTTTAATACGTACTTTTACTACTTGACGCTAAAAAGATATTACGTGTATTCTGATTTCGTTTTAAGTGTTTCAAAAATGTACAGTTACGGACATGTAAATTGGATGAATGTTCTTGAACTATATTACAAATTACAAAGTGTAAATATATTTTAATAGATAACTATTTGGTTAGCAGACTAAAGAAATCTAAATAAAATGAATAAATCTAGAACAAATATTCCTTGAATGTTTTGTATATTTTTGTATATTACTTTTTTTGCACCTTTTCTGTAATTTCATAAAAATCCGCTGTCTACTGATTAATTTACTTTTGCCATTGAAAGGTAACATAATCTTTAAACCGTTGCAAAATAAGAAAATTTCGAGAATTTTTTGGGGGGCTAAAATTACATTTCATTAAAAAAATTATATGCACATCTCATTATACGTAGTTCAATTGGTAATTGCTAAAAATTTAAACGAACGTAGGAGGACATGCCAGTCATTTCATCGAAAAACATCGTCTGCAATATCAGGTATATCTTCGTGGAGTTTTATCCAAAGCAAATTTCTTTAATTTTATGTCAAATTTACAGCTGGTACTTGTCGAAGTCGATTTTTAAAATGACAGTTATCTAAACTTGAACGTGTAATGTTTGTTATATATATATATTTCCAGCTACTTTCGTTAATAATAAAAAGAAAAGAAAAAACAAGAAAATGCACGAATAAAAAATTTTGCTCTGTCAAGTGCTAGGCAATAGCTTTGAAAATATTACCACAAATTTTTACTCGCATTGGTAGTCTTTCAGATATTTCTGATGTTAATTTTGAAAATTTTATTCGGACAAAAATACTGTTTAAAGTTTCAATTATATGTTATTAAATACCGGCACAAACTCCAAGTTAATAACTTTCTAAAATATATTTTTTAAAAAATCACAATAACAGAGTATACAATTTTTGAAAAATCAATATTTTTGACTTTGTGATACTTCTGAATTTTAAAAATTTCCGACAAAAATACTGTTTAAAGTTTCAATTATATGTTATCATTAAATACCGGCACAAATTCCAAGTTAATATCTTTCTAAAATATTTTTATAAAATCACAATAACAGAGTATACAATTTTTGAAAAATCGATATTTTTGACTTTGTGATATTTCTGAATTTGTATATATAATAGTAAGACGGTATATATAATATTATCTGTTGCACTTCTGCAATCACACATTCGGGAACATTCTTTTTATATTTCCAATGTTTAAACAGATATCCTCAGTTAGTTTCCTTTCTTACATTTTTGTCTTTAATTGTCTCTAATCTCAAATTTGGCGAAGAAGGAAACCAATCATAGACACTTCTTGTTAATTGTAGGTAATTAATTACGTCATTATTACACTAATTAATCTAAGCCAAGGTTATTACGACACAGGATCATCGTTTTCCTATGCACTTTGTCTCTTATGTCTTTCATTCGTAGGTAAGCTGCAAGAACAATCAATCTTAGACGCCACGATTTCATTTCTTGCAAGACGGAAGCCTTCGCTGCGCGAGATAAATCGCGTATTATATTTTCGTTGCAACGTGAAAACGGTTCCTTCTCCTAGCTACTCGATTTCCACTGCGCGGTTGTCTCTATATTTGCAATTTTCCAAAATTCCTCGAAATTAATTTCCGAAATATAATATTTACCGTGAATGTAAATATACGCGCAATATATTTGTGAAACGTGTTTGAAAATAATTTTGCTAAAAAGTGTGAAAAATCATGGGCGAACGTTATTTTCTTATTTACATTTGACGAAATGGATAAGCCTTCACTTGAATAATGCCGATCTCTCCAGATAGCTTTTGTTCGGACGAGCAACCGAAGCATAAAATTTTAAATTGCGAGCATTCGTCGTATCAATCTTTGTTGAGTGACCTCATAATTCTAGCTTGTCTGCCGAATTTTATACCTATTTGCTTTCGTTGATTTTCCAATTTGTACAATACGCAACGTTCTATCAATCATATAGAAAGGTTTATTGTAGATAAAAACCGATGAAATGCAAACGAGAGCTGAACAAGGATAAAAATTTCTACCGAAAATATATTTAACACATTTCTAGAATTACTTGTTGAATAACAATAGCATTGCCTGTTAAATAAAAAATATTTTTTTCAAAAGTATACCTCCCAACTATTTACTAACACGGCCATCGTTATAAAGCAGAAAATGTCAGGAACTTAACACCATGTAAGTTTAAAGAAAGGTTATAAACAGAATATTAATATGCAAATAATTTTCACTACGTCACTAAACATACCGGACTACGTCATTGGATGCCCCTTCTTAAAATTTATTTATGTACGATCGCGCTATATCATTTCCGCCTGGTACACGCCTTTGAAAATTGATTGTTTTCTTCTCTACTTTTAGCATCCTTTTCACGGCATTTTATACATTTACTTTTGATACAGTTTGTATATAAACTAGCTATTTTTCCCGCAATATTTCCAACGGGCAATAATCATGAAACTTTGCACATGAAGGTGCTTTACTTTAATCGGAAAGTGCCGAGACCCAGTGCCGTAATTTCTCGCACCACAGACTATACATTAGTACTTAAAGACGGATTAATATTCTACGGATGTGTTAAATATAACCGCTTGATCATATCGAAATATTTGCCATTGTTGCTGCGCGTGTAATTTTATTTATAAATTGGAACAAACGTGTTGTATCGAAGTTGAAAAGACCAACGATGAACTCGTGCCCTTTTAATTCATGTGGGAATATAATGTACGTGCAGTCGCACAGACAGTTTTTCGAAGGAAAACAGTAAAAGCCAGCGGAAAATGTAAGAGACAAGAGGAGAATGATACAGTGGCTATTGAGAATCAACGTACTTCATTCAGGATTGTAACGTTGTTTTGCATATTTACGTGTTCAAGCGTCACCGTTAATGACCTGACGAAAAAGCAATATCTAAAAGAAGATGCGTGTTATTTTCCTGCAATTAATTATAAAGATTATGAATCATTTCTCCATAACGATCTTAACGACACAAATTTTTTGCGAGGCAATGTTTTTTCGCAATTTGCAACGACATAATGTCTACATAATGTTTCGTGTCTACATAATTTATTAAAAAAAACACACAATATGAAATACGGTGGTGACATGTTCCGTGTAAAATTTCATATCGCGAAACCTGTTTTAATCAATGTCTTTATTCTGTTGATATTTAATACCAACGTTTGGAATAACAATATTTATCGTCGTAACATTTTTATTCGGAATAAAGAGAGACACAAGTAGAAAGTTAACATGCAAGGTTAACAGACGTGTGTAGAAGGGTAGAAGGAATGATTTAACCCTAGAATCGCAGACAATTAAAGAGACATCGAAGTAAAAAAAGAAGCTTTATAATAACAATACAAGTTTCTATTTATTTAGTCTACGAAAAATCATTTATCATCTCTAAAAATATACTGAACGTTTTACGTCTGCAGTTTTTAAGGAAAATTATAAATTGGTCACTTTGAGACCACTTGACTCGCTAGCTACCAAAGGGAAAGCAAAAAGAGTACGATTTGCTCGTACGTGTAAAAAAAGTACATGTACAGGCACATTCTCTTTGAGAAATTTTCAGTTCAAAATATGTATAGCGACCAGCGATACGCTCGAATCGACTTGCTTAGTGTATGTGGAACAGGGAAATGGAAGGTCCTACGGGATAAGGGGATGATTTCTGTCTTTAAGAGGTTCCCCTCTCCTACCACCTCACCCTTGGATGTTCAATTCAAACGGTTCGAGAGGTTCTCCTCTCCTCCTTCCTTCTTTCACGCCGTCTACGCCGGAAGGTAAGAGAAACACTATAATGTCTGTCCATCTGTCAATCCGACCCAACTGCGTGCGTGCCTTCGATTCTTTCTGCTCCGTAAAAGACGATCGCTCTTTTGTGAAAAGAGAAATAAGAAAAACTACTAAACCAAGGCGGCTGCTTGAGAGAAGCCCCGAGTTTTCTTTTAATTCTGAGATTGCGCCGCGACATTCATTTCGAACGGCTGAAGCGGCTATCGTGATTCATACATCTTCCGTTTACGTTTCAACCCCTCGCGCCGGTAACTGATTGCGGACCATAACGAGTGACCAAACCGTATATAATAATTCGTCGCTTTCTTTTTCATTTGAACTCGTCGGTATGATATCACTGGACAGAAATTATTAAAAAGTAATAAACTTATTATTCGCCTGGGTTACATTTAAATATACTTAAAACTGAGAAAATGTTGCTATTTAGAACAAAAAGTTCTTGACGTGCGTTATTCTAGCACAAGAAGTTAACCCCTTGTGCTGATAACTCGCGGACCATAACGAGTGACCGAACCGTATACAATAATTTATTGCTTTTTCTTTTTATTTGAACTCGTCGATATGATATCACTGGATAGAAATTATTAAAAAATAATAAACTTGTCATTTGTCTTATATTTAATAAATATACTTAAAATTGAGAAAATGTTGCTATTCAGAACAAAAAATTCTCGACGTGCGTGGCACGTTATTCTAAGTTAACCTCTTGTGCTGATAACTAGTTCGCGGACCATAACGAGTGACCGAACCGTATACAATAATTCGTCGCTTTCTTTTTCTTTTGAGCTCGTCGGTATGATATCACTGGATAGAAATTATTAAAAAGTAATAAACTTGTCATTTGTTTTGTCTGGGTTATATTTAAGTATACTTAAAATTGAGAAAATGTTGCGCATTCAAGCGGAACGATAGATAGGCTTCGTACAATTTTAACAACAGTATCTTTGTGCACTTGCACTTTTCAACGGTGGAGAATCACTGGTACAAGTATTATTATAGTTGCAGCTACGTTGAAACCTTACCTACTTGATTCGTATTACTCGCAGGAGATTTTGTCAAAGCTGGAAAACAAAATATCTTTTTATCGAGCGAATGGAATACCTTTGTCACTTTCGCAATAATGATTATTCGTCTCTTATTAATATTCACTTCCGAGCCGGTTCTTTGAAATTCATTATATCGTGGTAGTTACCGTCTGCGATTACGTTTAATTAAATTTCCTCAATTCTTCTTTCCTCTCTATTTCCGTGTCGTTCGCGCAATGCGTTTCACCGCGGGAATAAAAATTAAGAAAATAAACTTGAGCTTGGAAACGAACTGACTAGTCGGCCATCGCGACAACCGTCTCGAGCACACACTGCCATTCTATCGCGAGTAAAGTGAAAGAGTAACTGAGAAAATGTAAAGTGAAAAGTACTGACCGCGCGGGTCCTTTTTCTGTTGCAGAGATTCTCGGCGAGGGATTTCAGTGACACGTGTCTGTAAGGTTGGGATGACTGCGGCGATCGAAGAGAGGATAGTCCGGACGCAGCAGCTCGATTCTCGCGGCGGCACGGAGGATCGAGAATGTTATCGCGCGAGGAACGGCGCGCGCCAGCAACGCGAGGAAAACGGAACGCTCGATCGTGAACGAGGATGTCAAAGAAACTTGAAGAGGCAACGCGTGTAAAAGTGTCATGATCGATAATATCGCCGCGAGATCTGAAATGGGGACGTACACGAACGGTCAGCCTCTGGTCAAGTCCATACTTAGGAACCTGTCGTTCGACTATATGCAACGACCGACCGACCTGTTCTCTGGTAACGCGACCAAGGACGCCGTTACCATCCACGATGAAACCGTCTTGAACGACGTTTCGTCGAGAAGCGAGGAGGACGCGTCGACGAATACCGGTGTCGGGTACGAGTTAGGTTGGTTCAATGATTCAACAACGATTGGCTCGACGCCTTCCGGTTCCTTGTTCAGTGTGTCTTCGTCGTTCTTTTCATCGGTGTCACCGTCGTCGCCTAGCTTCGACAACTACACCAGCATAACGGACCTGTTCCTCTTCGACGACTTGAACGACTACATCAATCAATTGAATTACAGCGCTTTCGTGAATTTGACGGCCTACTACGATCTGAACCTGAACGGAAGCGTGAACTGCACGTCGTCGATAGTCGCGGGCACGGCGGCTGACGTCGTTAGACCCGGCGAGTGCGGGCCAACAGCAGACGTTGACGAGAAAACGAACGCCAATAGCTGGTGGGCACTGATACTGGTGATCGTGCCTTGTTTGACGCTGTTTGGCAACGTATTGGTTATTCTCGCCGTAGTCCGGGAGAGGGCTTTACAAACAGTCACGAATTATTTCATCGTGAGCTTGGCCGTCGCTGATCTGCTCGTCGCTGTGCTCGTCATGCCTTTCGCTGTCTACGTCCTGGTGAGTCTGTGATTTTCTCTTTCTTCTCGCGCAGTAACGGGTGATAAAACGGCGGGTGCGGGCGCAGGGCGGGTGCGGTGTGTAGTTAAAAGAATTCATTAAGTGGCCGATCGATGTTTCGTTTTATAGCGTGCGGAACGTGTCACGCTTGAAACCTTACCCTTTACCTCGATAAAAATAATAGCCGTTTCGGTTATTATTCCGACGTGGCTGAATGAAAAACTCTCCAACTAATTCGAAGCATTTTGTTTTTCCTTAAATTTTTGCTCAAACTCTGAATCCGGCGTATGGAAAAACAACGATACACATTGTGATTCACTCGCGCGTCGTATTTATTTAACGAACGATTCCTATTATTCCGCCTATCGGTCAGATTCACCGTTTCTCCTTCATTTTTTCTTCGCGACATTAATAAACTGACAGTCGAAGCAATTTCAATTGGAAATCAATTAGCGTTTCTATTCCCGTATCGAGAAGCCAACAATTGTTCACAGATTTATCAAATAAACGACGGTCTTGTCCGAATCACAACATTCCCATTCGCGGTTCGATTGCGTATGCCTGTCGAATGAAAATAGGATTAGTTAATTAAAGCAATTTGAGTAATTCTTCGAATGACAGCTCCTGAATTCCGTGATAGCGGTGACCTACTTCTGTTCGAAATGCTTCTAGCGAGTCATAGTGCGGATGTCAAACGAGCGTTGCCGGCGCGGCGCAATCGCATTCTTTTATGCGTGTGCAGTATTTATTTAACTGCCATTTTATTTACGTACGCGAATAAATTTCAATCTCTTACGCGGCGGAATAAATATCTGACAAATTTAGCTTGTTCCACTGCGTCACGATTTATATACATTTTACGATCCTATTTGTTCTTATTATTATCATTTAAAGGATAGTACCGCCCTCCAGCGCTGACGCGTTATAATTTTACTTTGTAGTGCCGTTAAATGTGCAAAATTTATGTTGCGTTGAATAATTATCGGAATTCGTAACAGATACGTTTTCGTTTCAAGCAAATAAGCACGCTGCCGGAAATTTACACGATCTGTTGAGAGGTCTGTTTCTCCATTTCTCTACAACTTGGCGAGATAATAATTTCACGATGGTGAACGAGGTAATAGATTCCGTGGCGAGATTACGAATCGCCGAGGGATTGTAAAAAAATATCGTAAAAGTTGAATCTTGTGATATTAAAGTTGTCAATATTCCATTTGCTTCGTTTCAACGAAACATTTATCCGAACGGTTGCTAGAGATAAAGTTTTACACTCGGCAACCGAATTCATTTGCGCGATATTTACGCTTGAAATCGCGCCGCAGCATTTTTGTGAATAAATTTAATTTATTTCAAGACAACGAATTTTGTTGTCGATAATTCGATTAATTTTACATCGTATACATATAATCGAGGATTGTTTTATAATTGCGACATAGCTTTTACGCTTTTGCACGAGTTATTATATAACTCGCTCTTTCATACGTTTCGATAATGTCGCGATTAGCTTTTGACCAATCGTTCCAATTAATCGTTCGTAGTGAAATATTTGTTACGTTACGCGTGTTAACAAGCGTTAACAGCTAGACTGTGCCGTTTGATGTACGAGTCGTTTTTTTTCTTTCTTTGTTCGGGGAAATGTGCGTGATCGTCACGCGATTTGCCGCAACATGACGCGGGCAATTTGTAAATATCGTTTCGCCACGAAATCACGTGGTACAGTAACATTATAAGAATCACGCTCTGTACTCTAAACGCGCACGTAGGTCGAAATAGTAATTGCACAGGTGACATTTACCTTACGTTTATATTGAGCAGCGTGTCTCTAAAGAGTCGCGATGGTGTTGGAGTGTAATTTACAGGTGAACAAGGACAATTTATTCCACGCGATCTGAAAACGTAATGACCGCTAAAGATGTACTCCGCGGGAATATGCATGAGGGACTAGTGAATTCGGTGGCGCGATTTGTCGAGGAAGTAACGGAAAGGAAAAGTCGCTTTTACAGGAAATTAAGAGTGCCGCGAGCTAATTACGAACGATTACCACGTGGCACGTGGGCCGTATCGGGCCTGCGAATGGAAAGCGTAAGATTTTATTACCGAATTAACTTGTAGAAAATTTCCAATAATCTGATAAAGTTCAGTCGATATTAAGCAATTACGTTACCCCTCGTCCGGATAGATTTTGATATCCTGCAAAAAAATCTATAACCGCTTATCGTTTTGCATAAGCGGAGCAATCCACGATTCGCTCGCCGTTTCTATTTTCATTGTTGCTTGGTAATTTTTTCCGACGTCGAACTGACCGACGCCGGCATGTTTCGGCCTCTTCTATCGGCTTGATAAAACCGAGACGTCCCGGGCTGGATATTAACACGGCGCAGCGTACTAAAATCCCTCGTCGACCGCTTAAATGATCGTTCGCGAGTTTCGCATTAAACAGTTTAACGACGCGCGCGCGCGTGTGTGTGTGTATGTGTGTGCGCGCGCGCCTATATAACGCGTTGCAACGATGATAATGTCGCGACACTCGAGTCGCGCTACAATCGAAGCACTTTAGTCGGTTACCAACGCGTGTACCCTCTCCTGTTCCGGGACTCGTTCAGTTTTGCGAAACGCGGAGGAACCGCGCTGTCTGTGCGACGTTACGCGCGCGGGAACTCGAACAGCTGAAAAATTACATTTTTAATTACACTGCGAACATATATTTGTCGAACGATTAATAACACCCGCTAAATTTCGTTCCTGTATTAAGAAGAATTTTGTATGAAGAAGACATTTCTGAAAGAATATACTTGACCGGAAATACTCTTCTGATTGGTAATTCATTTTTATCGATCGTTTCCTCCCGGTAATTTCGTACTCTCGCGATTATTTGAGGAATTTCTGAAGCTGTTTGTTTCGTTCAAACAGCAACTTTCATTGCTTTTTCAATTTTCCCGGCACGATTCTCGCTTTTGACCGAAGCAGGTAAATTAATTTCGCCGACGAAGATAGAGAATAACGTGTAAATAAAAAAAAAAAAAAAACGCGTGACTTCTTTCCTCGAAGCTTTCTTTACTTCCGGTCATTTCCCATGCTGACATTGCACCCGTCGGCTGTGGTTTATACCCGTGCAATTTCTCATCCAATTTACTCGGTTATTAGGATTTTCATTCTTATTCTTTATTACGCCGTACGATCTTTTCCATCATCATCAAAGTTAAACGTTCCGTTGTAACGCAACGATTACTAAAAGATTTGCCAATCATTTCGGTAACGATCGTCTAAAATTAGTTGATAGAAACTACGTTAATCTGGTAGATTTAATTTTTATTCCTAAGTGTACTTCAACTTAACTTTGCTCAATTTTCTTGATTAAACGACTTAACTTTGAAACGTCCTTTCTATTTTAGAGATATGATAGAGATATTGGATGGATAAAATATCGATGTCAGAAAATTTCAGAATAACACTCGTGCCCTTACATAAATGCAACAAGTTAGATTATATCTACTATTTTTCCCATGAAAACTGTCCAAAGTGTAAACATAGGTGCGTCAAGGACAACCCATTAAAATTACAAAATTAGAATTATAACAAATTAGACTGTGCAACCATTCGCTTTTTCTTGGCTATGTTAATAAATTCAATATTCATATTATTTTGTACCTGTCTTGGAACGTGCGAATCATTGGGTTTGAAAGAATTAATTACAGAGAAATTAATTCTGAGCATGTATTATCTCGCAGTAACAAAAATCAAGCCGTGTTTCTGCAGTCACGTTTTCTAATTCTTTTTTTGACATGGTGGAACCAGCCGTATAGTTCGCCTCGGTAGTATCTCCAATGCTATTTCTCGCAGCGATACCGTCGCTGTAAATCTTTTCCTGAATTTATGTAGGTCGACGCTCGTTTGCTTTTAGCAGTATGTTTATAACCGTATCTCGCGTCTCTCGCAAATCGCAGGAAGATATCTCCATCCTAAGCGACGTTTCGATTTCGACCGAAATCGAAATGAATCAACCCAGTTTATGTACATTTGCCTTTCCTGCGATGGTCGATATCGATATTCTAGTAATTTATACGATGGAGAAATATCTTCATGATTCTTATTTGTTCTTAAGAGAGAGAGAGAGAGAGAGAGAGAGAGAGAGAGAGATAAAGGCGTATTCGAGGATGATCGATTTGGAAAGCTACTTTTGCAATCCCTCCTTATACGGACTGTAATTTCCTTTCTTCAATGGTTTCTCTCTGTCTCTGCCCTTAGTAACTGACGTGGCGTGGTAATTTGGAAATCACGTACTTTATCAAATTCAGTGTCCGTGGCAGATTACTACGATTTCAGTAAAAGAAAGAAAAAAAGGTGTCCGCGCGCGAGATGCAATCCGAGCCGGTGCAACGAAGGATCCGCGAAAATTGGACAGAAAATTACGAGGAGGTGATAAGGAGGAGATGTGGATAGGCGTAGAAAGAAGGAACAGAGGTAAAAGGTGGAACAGCCCCAGGGTGTCGGGTTCCGTCGAGTGGGTGCTGGCGTGACCACGAGCAATTTCGACCCGTTTTCCTTCGCCTACCTCCGTAATCCCTCAATTCGTAGGTAGCCTCACCGCTCAGTCGTTTTACCGAGTGGAATAATACGGCTGGATCGCCAGCTGGGACAAGGTCTATGTTAATAACACACAGATCGCTTCATCGCATGCATGCTTATTACTTAGTCGATTCAACCCAGTTTTGATTCGAGCTGTGTACACAGAGGTTAAAACATTTGTTGTCCTGCTAATATGAATATTAATACCCCTGTCGAAGGGATCGACCGTGATTCTTCTGAGAATAGAACACGGAATCGCCTTAGCCTTGCCACATTGTTTAAACGCGAGTTATCGTTATGACCTCTCCCTATCTGTCACATATCTTAAAGTTTCTTGCCTTCCGGCATGCCGTCTGAACTTCAACGCAGTTTATTGCCACTGTCTTCCACAGTTAATTTCATTCGCGTTTCAAACACGCTTGTAAACGTTTGGA